TGTTCAAAGCTCTGTATCTCATTTCTATATATCCAACATGGATAACTCATTTCCACGTATCTGATATGGTGGAGAAAAGAAGAGCTGAAGGACTAACTGTCCTCTCTGGGGTTTTTGAGCTGAGGGCTTACTCAAAATGTTTAATATCTAGATTTAGGCTTTGTAGTGCTGCCACTACCTCGTATTTTTAAATATACTTGTTCTGTTACTTCCAATCTTTAGAAGTATTGTACTGAAGAAAGAATATTGCATATTCGAGAAATTTGATGACTGCAAAGAAAAATGACTTTTGATCTGTCCACGATACTTTCTAATACTTTCATGCCTTATGAACTGGATTAAGAAGCAACTTCTCTTAAATAGCTTCAGTCCTCCTAACGTAGTTTACTAATTGACGTATAGTGAAGCAGCTTTTCTAAAATAAATATGTAAGTACTTTTCTAGTCTGTGGAGGTGTGTATTTGAAGCCTTTCAGCCAAGATTATGACCAGGAAACTAAGTCCTGAACTTCTCAAACTTTTATCCATGTGTTATCTGTGGTACTTGTGCATTAGTCAAGTTGATTTACTTGTCATCTACAATTTAGGCAGAAGTTATATGCCTGATTTAGGCAAACTAAATCCCAGTCATTGCAGCTTGGGGAACTGTTAAAATATTTTCACCTGGATCTGGTGCCCTAGATGAAGGCAAAATTAATTTTCTCATAATGGGCTAAGCAAAGATCCTGTATTTCTTTCAAGAGAATAACATCAAAGCTATAAAACTCAAGCATTTCCTCTTTTTTTTTTCTGTAAGGACCGTGTCATGCTTTTGAACATTAAACTGTTCCATATAGATTCTCTTAGCACTGTTATTGACCTGTCTGTCCTGATAACAGAAATGTATTATATTGGGTGGGGTGCCTGTAAGAATTTTAGCCGTTGATTTTAGATACTGTATGTGTCTGTTCATCATGCCAGCTCAATTGCTGGGCACAGCTCAAGAGCTGTGTCAGCAAGCTAAGGCTCTCTTCCATGTCTGTAACTCTCCAGGTCTAAGGTCTAACTTGACTATTACCTGGTGACCTTACAAAATCTTTTCATCTATCAACTCCACAAGTGGTAGCATGGCTACTGAGACAGTGTTCTGGCAAGGGTAATAATAGCTCAAAAGATGTGGAGGTTTAAAGCAAACATATAAGTGCATTGGCCCAAATTCCTCCTGGGCCACGTGGCTCTATGAAGTCTCACGTTCAGCTGCAGTAACTAGTACATTATCAAGCACTGTCTGACTACTCTTTTGGTTTCCAAATACCTTTCCCCAAACCTTTGTTCCTTAATGAACCACTAGTGACTGGTATGCACTATTTAAGCAGACTTCAGGAGCTGGTGAAACAGAGGATGTCACATTTCCTTACTTGTCATAAGTAGGTTTTGTGGCAGCTATTTTTTTTTGGTGGGATTTATGCTGCTGTCATAGTCTAATACATTATAAAGGGGAAAAGGGAAAACGATCTACTGTCAGATTTTCAGTGGGCAGAGTAGTCTGTTAGAACTGCAGAGGGATTTTCTCTGCTGTTGATAGCAGCATGCATATGTGGGTGAATCCTGTGCTCATCCTATACTCCTAGCTTGGAGCTGATCAGGCTGTTGTTGCATATTGTTGTCAGTATAGGGAAGGCTTGTCTCTGGAAAGAACATTTCAGAATGGGAGTTTTGGTTATCAGAAGGTAGGAAAGGCTGATATGAAATAAAACCAAGTCTTTTCTGTGTTACATTAATTTGTATTTATTTGTATTTTTTATTTGACCAAAGCATAGAGAACAGCAGCCACACTTTTTTATGAAACACATTTAAAAGAACGTGATTCCACTAAAATAAAAAATGTGAGCATGGTTTTTGGTGTACTGGGCTTCCATTTTAGCCCGTTGGCTCTGATTAAAGATTATTCAATTTACAAATTTTGCCCCTACAATTTACTGTGACTGTAGGAGACTTAATGCTGACAGTAGTCAGTTGAACATCGAAGTGACCCCGGTTGGAAATGGGAATGACATATTCTTAGAATGGCCTTCTGGAAAGCCTAAGCAAGCAAAAAACAGTAGGTGCACTAATTCTTGCTGTTTAAAGCCTTGGTCCATGACAAACCACATGTAACATACATAAGGGTAGGCAGAAATGGATGTTGACAGCGTGGAAGAGCATTGCAACTACTGTCCTCCATATAAACACAGGGAGAAATTTTTGGAAGGCTCAGGTCTTATGTCAGGCTTGGACCAAGACTTTGACAGCTTCCTTAAGTACCTGATCACTGGGCAAAGGAGTAGCACAGAGGTGTCGACGCTGAAATGAAGAAATGAGAACATTTTTTACCAACAGTTTGCCTCTGCAGCCTTCGTAGCAGGCTGCCACATGCCAGCTGCCACTGGGCTGCATTTGAAGCAGTGCTTTCTTGGTTGATAGCTAGCCAAAAGTCTCAGCTGCTCAGACAAATGGTTCGCTGCAAATCGATGAGGTTTTCTAGACACAGGCGGTTAATATTTCAATAGGCAACTGCAGATAAAGTTGCTGTGTCAGATTTCATGGCAGAGAGCTGTTGCCCTTGTTCAGAAAATTGTGTGCCTGGAAAGTGTTCGGACCTTTCCATTTCAACCACCTGAAAATTTCTGCTTTCAAATCAACTTTGAAATGAGTATTTTGCCTGTATTTTTGGACATTATTTTTCTAGTTTTGAGCATTCAAAGATGAACTGGAATGGTTTCTACCCCCTGGCAAACCTCGGAGGGGAGGTTAATGCTATGGACTTTGCTCTGTTTATATTCAAAGTCATTACTAAAATTGAGGTGTTTCTGAGCAACTTCTTGCAGGATGCTCTGTTTACACAGGCCATCTTCATGGATGTCCAGGTGCATTTTATTTTTCCATCTGATCTACCAAGCAGAAGTGAGCCCTTTGCTGCACACAGTGTTTGTCAGATTCCCAGAAAGTATCTGCTTTGAAACATGTTCAGTAGCAGTGAAGAGCATAGATGAAATTCTGTACACTGATTTGATTCAACAAGCCATAATTTTTAAAGAAATAACTTGATTCTGCTGTAAGAGAAACAAGCAGACAAACAAACCAACACTGCTGCAAAGCACAGCAGCTTCTTCTAAGCTCTCTCTCAACCCATGTCTGCCATTTTTGCCCCCACTTTCCTAAGCGTGTCTCTGTCACCCAAAGGACATCGTCCTGCGCTTTTGGCCAGTATTCTGGGTTTGAATTCCCACACAGAAAAGAATTTACTTAGGAAAATAATATAATGTGGCTGTCAGTAGGCGCAATACTGCCTCTAGTGCTACAATGTACTGACTCTAAATGAAGCTGTGGCAGATGGCCTAAGAAGTTTCAGTGCTTTCTTTCTCTTGATCAAGATTGCTGGATTAATTTGTACTCTGGTGCAGAGTTGTTTTACCAGGCTCTAATTGGACGGGCAGGATACACTGGTTCTAGCTTTGCTGGACCAAGCAAGGTCTGCAGGTGGGGAATGCTGTGCATAACCTGGGCCAGCAGGCCCCTGATGAGGCTGGGATAATGGAGAGGAACATGGGATCATCCCACAAGGTGCAACATCTGCTGGAACCAGCAGAAATGTGCTCTCATTCAGACTGTGCCTCAGCCCACCGTTTGAGCAGCCCTGTGTTAGATTTCTGTGGCATTGTACTTGATAAAATGCTCTTATGTGCACAGTGCCTGAAGAACTAGTGTTATGTTACTGACATTCTCAGGTATGGTACTAGGTAGATAAGGAGGAAGGCTGTCTGTATCTCCAATGTCTTCTTCCAGGTCAGAAACAGCTCTAGAGCTTTTGGGTCACATCCAGACACTACAGTTGTGTTACATGAGTAGATTTTCAGCAGTGAGGCTGAGAATTCAGCCTCAAAGTGTGACAGATCTTTTTACCCATCTCTTGAATTACTACATTGAAAGCTTCTGTAACATTGAAATGAGTTGAGGGGAGAATAGTGAACAGACAGTGTCATGTTTGCACAGACGTAAGTTCCAGGCACAGCTGAAAGATCTTTTATCTGGAAGACATCCAGAGCAGCACTGTAAGAATAGAAGTGGGTTGTCCAGGAGGAGCCTCAGGAACAGGTAGACAGCAGCCTGGCAGACAGTGAGAAAGAAAACAAAAAACAGAAGCAAAAAAAATAAGAAAACAAACAAAAAAAGTGATCCAGAAATTAGTGAAATACTTCAGAAGAAAGCAGCAATAAGTTTGGAAAAAGGAATGAGTGACTGGAGCACTGAGGGAAAAGCAGGAGCATCCAGCAGGAACCAGAAGAATGTGAAATAGAAATAATTCAGTCAGTTGGATCTTTCTGTTGTTGCAATTGGAGAAATCCGTAAGTGAGCAAAAATTATATTTTTTTTCAGAAAGTGGAGATGTCTGGAGAGATTTGATGTAGCATAGTGGAAACATATAGAGAAGAATGGGAAAAAGTCAAGTATGATATTGAGATACTGGAGTTTGGGACAGGGAGCAGCAATCATTTTTTATTTGAGTGATTGAGAAAGAAAAATGAGCAGCTCACTTTTTGCTTGGTTTATTAGAAGGAGGAACTTTTAAGTGTAACCTAGTAAATAGAGTCCATCAAACCAGAATTAGTCCAGCTGCCTATTATTGGAATAGCTCAAGGAAAATGTCCTTCTCTGTTCTCTCACCACCTCTAGTTACTTGTTTTCACTCGGTTAAGAAAAGTCAGTGGAACTGCATTTGAAAGTGTTGTCACTTCACAGTCTGTCACAGGATTTTTGCCAGCTCTCTTCAAAAGGAGCTGGTGCCTAGAACTGTGCCAGCTGGTTGGTGTGATCATCTTGTCACTTTACTAGAAAATCTAAATATACAGCAGTACAAACTGAAATATGTCTGCTGTCCTGTTTTGCAACTATTCTGCATTTTATCGAACCTTTTTTTCCTTTTTTTTTTTCTCTTTTGCTTTAAAGTAGTATTGAAGCTCTCTCTATCTTTCTGTTCTATAGGTTGTCATTTTGTATTTTGAGCCAAGTGTATTTCGCTGTGTTCTCCTAAGATGGGTTCGTCTTCTGGGCTTTGCTACAGTTTATGGAACTGTGACGCTCAAGCTGCACAGGTATTTCACATATTATTAATTTCCATCTCTATGGGAATATGTGCAATCTGTATGGGTACTTAGATGGAAGAGATGCAAATAATATCATAAACAAGCGCCGTTTCTGATTTTTAAAACTACTGTATGTATCTCCACGTTATTTCTGCTGAAATGATAAACTACTAATCGCAGTAGAGAACTATGAATGCAGAAAGTGATGGTTGCACAGCGAGGAGGTTTCTCAGAAGTGTTGAGCTGGAGCTGCAGGATTTGATGAAGAATGTATACATCAGCTGTAAAATTGCGCAAGAACCACTTTTCAAAGGTGAATATGTTCTGCTTGAGTGTAGGATGAAGTAAAGTGTCTAACTTTCCATATAAAGTGTTCGCAGAGATATTTGATGTTCCTAAGTGAGCGATGCTGAGTGAAATGCATTATGGTGTATGCATATACTCTGATTTCTTATGGCTTACAAGTCAAGGGCTGCTCTCTTCATGCAATCACAGCAGACAGGCTGCGTGCTCATGAGCATCAAGTGCCTGCCAGAAAAACTGTGTGGGAAATTCTGGGATACGCTGGGGGAGTTTCCACTGGGTCCATTGGGTTGGCAATGCATTCAAATGCAATTCAGAAATTAAGATTCAGAGACTTATCTTCAAATTCCATTTTTGCAGTCCCTTTAAAAAGAGAAGCTTTTCTGGACAAAATCCTAATGCTTTTCTCTCTTTCAGCTTCAGTGGAAAAAAACTACTGAAATATTCTGTAAATATTTTTGTAATTATTTTTTATAGAAGAGTAATGCAGTATGCTTATGTTGATACTTAAACACCTTGGATGAAGTAAGCTTGCTTCTCTTTTTGTATTTGTTTCATTAGAGTAGGCATGTTAGATAAGGAAGGTTCAATATTACACTTATAAAATGAATGAGAATTGAAAATATCTAGTTCACTTTGCACAATTGGTTTGTCACATTTTAGGTGGAGAAACCCACTTTCCCATTGAAGTGGAGCTTCTTACGTTTGTGTTTGGTTACAAGTATTCACTCTGGCTGTTAAATTCTGGCTATATCTATGTCTGGCCTCATCGTCTCATTGAAATTCATATGATGAACAATTTTTTATGCAAAAAGATTAACAATTAGAACACTATAGTAAAGATATGACAGAACTGGTGATTTTGTTTGGTTGACTCATTATCGGTAGTTCAGATATACAGGAAACAGCCTAAAACTATGAAGGACTCCCATTATTATCACTGTTCTGCTACCCTAACAGATTGTGTGTATGGTGTGAAGAAGCAGTGTCTTGACAGAGGAGTTGGTCTTGAGCTCGTATGAAGTGAGAATAGGTTGGAAAACTCAGCAGAAAATCTTGCACTTCTGGTTTACTCATTCAGCTTTTTGGTGTTAGGTGGCACCTGTGATAATAGGCTCAGCAAACAAGACAAAGATTGAGTAAGCCCAAGATCATCCTTGCTCAGTGCAATACAATGAAGACTAAAGGCTCTATGAGAGGAGCCCAGCCAGTAGGTTGAGGAAACTGATTTTCTCCTTTGCTTGGCATGCCTTAGACCATCTCCACAACACTGTTTCTAGTTTTGGACTCTTCCAAGGCATCATTGAACTCAAATGAGTTTAGTGAAGGGTGGCCAGGATGATTAGGACTTGGAGCAAGGAGAAGCTGAAGGAGAGGAGAAAACTTTGAAAGGATCTAAAAGCAGCTGTTTAGCACCTACAAGTTGCTTACTGAGAAGATGGAACTGTGCTCTTTGCAATGATGTATGTTGGGATAAGAAAAACAATTATAAATGGATTCTATGTCATGTATGAATTGTCATCATGGTCAACTTTATGTCAGGAAAGCTTTTTTCACCATCAAGGTAATTAAACAGTGGAGCTTATGCCAGTGAGGTTGCGAATCTTGATACTCGGAGGTTTTAGGGCCCAGCTTGATGAAGTGCTGAGTAAACAGCTTTAAATTCAGTGTCAACCCTGCTTTTATCACTGGATGACCTTCCAAGATCATTTGTCTCGGATTTATTCTGTATTTCTACATTAAACACATATAAATGAAGTGAAATAAATGAAATAAATATTTCATTTTATTAATCTAGAATTACTTTCTCTATGAATTTATCTTTGTTTTCCACTGAGGATTCATGATCATTCTTTTCCTACATTCATGATACTGTCTGGTTTTTTTTAATACTAAATGTTTCAGTCAGGGAGTGTGCCTTGCAAAAGACCGAGTCATGTTAGAAAAATGTTTTATTGTATATATTTGCAAGAATTATGCTAATTAAGAGGAATATGATAGTAGTAGAAATTTAGTAGAAATTTTTGGCAGATCTAGTTTAATCCAGTCATTGCAGGGCTGGAAAATGGCTAATTTTCCACAGATTCTCATGACAGGCCCTGATTCCCTCCTGTGTCTGTAGCCTGTGTCTTGCCTGGGGGAAGAATTGGATGCTAGTAATGAACTGATGATTTTTCTGAATTTAATGGAAATATCAATGGTGTGTAAATGCAGTTATTAGTAATAACTAGAAAGTCTAAAGCTGTATTTCTCAACAAATGAGGTGCTTTGAATAGCAGTGGAGCATGAAGGTTATCGAAAGCCAGGTAGGAGGCACTTGAAACTCTTGCTCTCTTTATGGCTTTCTTTTCCTTTTGCTCCCTTCTTGCTGAGGAGAGCTTTGAGGTTTTATTAGGTTCAGACATCAAGGAAAAATCAGAAAAATAACCAACAGCAGATGCTTAAGGAATAGAAAAAGAAGACAGGAGTCATGTACTGATTTATTCTTTAAACAGCCATCACAGTCAATTTCTAAAGCACCTCATCTCAAATTGCCTCCTTCTTATTCACTGTACATTTCTAAAATAATGAGCTGATGTTTATGGAGGTGGGAGGCTGGAGGTAAGGAAATGAGCTTAACTTAAGAAAGCTAACTGTAGAGCAATGTACAGAAGTCTCAGTACTTTCCTCAACATTCTTTCAAGAAGTAATGATGTTTCAAGTTTAACCATTTGGGTTTAAAAGACCTGCCGATTTTGCATCTTTCAGTATATTTCTCTGACTGAAGACTCTCTTTGTCCCTTCTTAAGCCCTGCATTTTATAGTTCCTCTCTTTATTTTTAATATATAAGCTTCAACCATTTTGGTTTCAGGGTTAATACAGAACCCTTAATTCTGGATTAAAGCATAAGAATGGAAGAAAACTGTAGGTAAATACATACAGACATGCATGCACATATGTAATGTTCATGTGTACACACGACAGCTTATGGACATTTCAGGGAAATGATTGGTTACAGACTGTACATCCTTTAGGCTATCAGCTTCAAGGCTAGGAATGGAATCTCTAGTTCAGGGCAGCCTCCATTTCATATGTATAGGAAGATGTTGACTCTGTGAGACAATTCTGTAATTGATTTAAATGCTGTGCTAAGATGTCTTCCAACCCATCTGAGCGAGTGGTGACACCTCCTACAGACCTTTGAAGGCATGAATGGATGGATAGACAAGAGTGTGGGTGGTGGGCAGCACTGCATGTCAGGTGTCATGGTTCAGTGTCTTACAGAAAGGGAAGCTCATGTTAGCAGAGAAGCCAAAAAAGCTGTCAGTTTACTTCTTCTGAAGCACTCGGGAGGAGATGTGCATTGACTGTGAGAACAGGAAAGAAAAGGAGGAAGATGACATGTTGTAGCATCTTCTTGCAGTGAGGTGAGGGAAGGAATATACAGGTCACAGAATCACAGAATTGTAGGGGTTGGAAGGGGCCTCCAGAGATCATCGAGTCCAACCCCCCTGCCAAAGCAGGTTCCCTCCAGCAGGTCGCACAGGTCGGCATCCAGGCAGGTCTGGAACATCTCCAGAGAAGGAGACTCCACCACCTCCCTGGGCAGCCTGTTCCAGTGCTCCGTCACCTCACTGTAAAGAAGTTCTTGTGCACATTTGTGCAGAACTTCCTATGCTGCAGTTTCCAGCCGTTTCCCCTTGTCCTGTCTCCATTCACCACTGAAAAGAATCTGTCCTCGCCATTCTGCCCCCCACACCTTAGATATTTATAGACCTGAATCAGGTCCCCTCTCAGTCTTTTCTCAAGGCTGAACAGACCCAGTTCACTCAGCCTTTCCTCATAGGAGAGATGCTCCAGGCCCTTCACCGTCTTCGTGGCCCTCCGCTGGACTCTTTCCAAGAGATCCCTGTCTTTTTTGTACTGGGGAGCTCAGAACTGGACGCAGTACTCCAGATGAGGCCTCACCAGGGCAGAGTAGAGGGGGAGGATCACCTCCCCCTCTAGATGATACTGGTCCTATCTAGGAGTGGTTGTTAGGAATATAGTGCAGAAAGGTACAGAAGGTACTGTGGCAGCTGGAATGTGTAGGCGTGTTTGCAGGGGAGCAGAAGGGTGGTTTAAGAAGCTTGGTCTTTGTTATATTTATGCACCTCCGTGCATTTTGTAAATCCAAATATAGTAAACAGCTATCCTCCTTTATTATATTCCCATGAAATAAATTACAGCATCACCCAAGAAATCCAAGCCACAGGTCACTGTGAACTCCTCTTTCAAGACCAATCATCCTGGAACAAACTTCCTGTGATTACCATGAGCATGTGTTACAGGATATATATTCCATGGTACTTTGCCCTGAAACTTGCTATAAATCTCCCTGGAAGAAGAATTCATTTGACTCTTTCTGAGTGATTTGTGGAACTGTCAGCAAATGAGTGATTTTCTGTTTCATCCTCCGAAAAATGGTCAGGCTGCAGCCTGGGTTAGGTTTTACCCCAAGACTCATAAACTTTGAAATAGTCCTGTCTTGGCTGAGAGGGTTTTTTATAGGAATTGAGTTTGGATTAAAACAGGCAAATACTCTTGTTAGTTTTGTGCAGTTACATAGTAAAGATGTAATCTCAGTCTCCTTATTAACCTTAACTGCTAATAAAGCAAACAAAACTCCGTATTTCTACACCTTCCGTGCATCCTCTTTGAAGGCTTGATGTGCCATTTGCCTGAT